ATGGAAATTTTTAGTCGACAGATTCAGCTTGCAATGAAATGTAAAATTACATAAAATACCTGTGCTTGGAGATGATCAAATAATTTCAGTTATCTTTCAACCAGTTCAGACAGACATTTTTCATAATTAAAATTCCATCAAAACTTCAGTTCTTTTATTTTGTTGTGTGATTTTTTTTTCTTCTGTTTTTTTCCTCTATTTCATATTTGTTGTAATTTAAAGACAATTCAAAATGTAAACAACTGATGTAAAAAAATTTTTTTTCTAAGAAAAGAACATAAAAAAGTGACTTTGAAATAAAATATCTATATATTTGAAAATTGATATATTATTTTAATTTACTGTTTATTTCAGGTTTCAGTATTTTCATCTTTTGACATTGATTTATTTTTTGTTCTCTTTGTAACATATAAGTAATTATTATTTCTATTTTTAATTATTATTGTTGCTTTGAACCTTTGAATTTCAAATTTTTATATCCCTACATTCAGAATTTGTCTAAAATCTCAAAAATAAATTCAGTATTTTCATATTTTGAATTTTATTTATATTTTTGTTCTCTTTGTAACAAATAAGTAATGAATTATCTTTACTATTTTTTTTTCTGTTAATGTTGCTTTGAAGCCTTTGGATATTTTCATATCTCAAAATTCAGATTTTCTCTAAAATATCCTAAATGACAATTTTTTTTAAAATTATGGCTCTAAAAAAGAATGCCTCCAAGTGGCTAGAGCTGGTAACATTGGGATAATATGAATAACTAGATACGATCTCGTTGCGAGCAACGAGTGGGTCTTCCGTCCAATTCTTGATGAGATGAGATAAGATTTTGATTGCGATTTTCACTCTAAAATAATGATTTACCACAATCTGTAAAAAGACATTGAACATTAAAGACTTAAAAAATAGGCCTTTTGCCCCTAACGACCCCTAATTTAGAAATCAGCCCTTTTTATTCAAATCATCTTAAAGATCTTAAGATTTTGAACATTTTGTGTTCAACAACTGTTCAGAAATTCTTTTTCGTTTTTGAGCTATTAGCAAAAGAAATATTTAGGGGCCAACCCTTCAACTCCTTAATGGGGACGTTTAGCAAAAAATGAAAGGTTGCATACTGTTCAGAACATTATTTTGAACAACTTTTGTTCAATATTGCTTATCAAAATATTTCTCCCTTTCGAGATATAAAGCATCAAAGATTTAGCATTCTGGCCCCTTGTGGCCCCTAATTATGTACCATACGACATAAAAACCATAATATATAGTTGTAGATGGTTGAGATAAACATCTTTGCTTCAGTAATGTATTACAAAATATTAACTGATAAAGAGTTATCGATTGAAGACTTTTGGCCCCTCTTGGCCCCTAATTCGAGTGCCCAGCCCCTTTTTCGGGATTTCATCTTAAAGATCTTAAGATTTTGAACATTTTGTGTTCAACAACTGTTCAGAAATTCTTATTTGTTTTTGAGCTATAAGCAAAAGATATGATTAGGGGCCAACCCTTCAACTCCTTAATGGGGACGTTTAGCAAAAACTGAAAGGTTGCATACTGTTCAGAACATTATTTTGAACAACTTTTGTTCAATATTGCTTATCAAAATATTTCTCCCTTTCGAGATATAAAGCATCAAAGATTTAGCATTCTGGCCCCTTGTGGCCCCTAATTATGTACCATACGACATAAAAACCATAATATATAGTTGTAGATGGTTGATATAAACATCTTTGCTTCAGTAATGTATTACAAAATATTAACTGATAAAGAGTTATCGATTGAAGACTTTTGGCCCCTCTTGGCCCCTAATTCGAGTGCCCAGCCCCTTTTTCGGGACCTCATCTTAAAGATCTTAAGATTTTGAACATTTTGTGTTCAACAACTGTTCAGAAATTCTTTTTCGTTTTTGAGCTATTAGCAAAAGAAATATTTAGGGGCCAACCCTTCAACTCCTTAATGGGGACATTTAGCAAAAAATGAAAGGTTGCATACTGTTCAGAACATTATTTTGAACAACTTTTGTTCAATGTTGCTTATCAAAATATTTCTCCCTTTCCAGATATAAAGCATCAAAGATTTAGCATTCTGGCCCCTTGTGGCCCCTAATTATGTACCATACGACATAAAAACCATAATAAATAGTTGTAGATAGTTCAGATAAACATCTTTGCTTCAGTAATGTATTACAAAATATTAACTGATGAAGAGTTATCGATTGAAGACTTTTGGCCCCTCTTGGCCCCTAATTCGAGTGCCCAGCCCCTTTTTCGGGATCTCATCTTAAAGATCTTTAGATTTTGAACATTTTGTGTTCAACAACTGTTCAGAAATTCTTTTTCGTTTTTGAGCTATTAGCAAAAGAAATATTTAGGGGCCAACCCTTTAACTCCTTAATGGGGACGTTTAGCAAAAAATGAAAGGTTGCATACTGTTCAGAACATTATTTTGAACAACTTTTGTTCAATATTGCTTATCAAAATATTTCTCCCTTTCGGGATATAAAGCATCAAAGATTTAGCATTCTGGCCCCTTGTGGCCCCTAATTATGTACCATACGACATATAAACCATAATATATAGTTGTAGATGGTTGAGATAAACATCTTTGCTTCAGTAATGTATTACAAAATATTAACTGATAAAGAGTTATCGATTGAAGACTTTTGGCCCCTCTTGGCCCCTAATTCGAGTGCCCAGCCCCTTTTTCGGGATCTCATCTTAAAGATCTTAAGATTTTGAACATTTTGTGTTCAACAACTGTTCAGAAATTCTTTTTCGTTTTTGAGCTATTAGCAAAAAAAATATTTAGGGGCCAACCCTTCAACTCCTTAATGGGGACGTTTAGCAAAAAATGAAAGGTTGCATACTGTTCAGAACATTATTTTGAACAACTTTTGTTCAATATTGCTTATCAAAATATTTCTCCCTTTCGGGATATAAAGCATCAAAGATTTAGCATTCTGGCCCCTTGTGGCCCCTAATTATGTACCATACGACATATAAACCATAATATATAGTTGTAGATGGTTGAGATAAACATCTTTGCTTCAGTAATGTATTACAAAATATTAACTGATAAAGAGTTATCGATTGAAGACTTTTGGCCCCTCTTGGCCCCTAATTCGAGTGCCCAGCCCCTTTTTCGGGATCTCATCTTAAAGATCTTAAGATTTTGAACATTTTTTGTTCAACAACTGTTCAGAAATTCTTTTTCGTTTTTGAGCTATTAGCAAAAGAAATATTTAGGGGCCAACCCTTCAACTGCTTAATGGGGACGTTTAGCAAAAAATGAAAGGTTGCATACTGTTCAGATCATTATTTTGAACAACTTTTGTTCAATATTGCTTATCAAAATATTTCTCCCTTTCGAGATATAAAGCATCAAAGATTTAGCATTCTGGCCCCTTGTGGCCCCTAATTATGTACCATACGACATAAAAACCATAATAAATAGTTGTAGATGGTTGAGATAAACATCTTTGCTTAAGTAATGTATTACAAAATATTAACTGATAAAAAGTTATCGATTGAAGACTTTTGGCCCCTCTTGACCCCTAATTCGAGTACCCAGCCCCTTTTTCGGGATCTCATCTTAAAGATCTTAAAATTTTGAACATTTTGTGTTCAACAACTATTCAGAAATTCTTTTTCGTTTTTGAGCTATTAGCAAAAGAAATATTTAGGGGCCAACCCTTCAACTCCTTAATGGGGACGTTTAACAAAAAATGAAAGGTTGCATACTGTTCAGAACATTATTTTGAACAACTTTTGTTCAATATTGCTTATCAAAATATTTCTCCCTTTCGAGATATACAGCATCAAAGATTTAGCATTCTGGCCCCTTGTGGCCCCTAATTATGTACCATACGACATAAAAATCATAATAAATAGTTGTAGATGGTTCAGATAAACATCTTTGCTTCAGTAATGTATAACAAAATATTGACTGATAAAGAGTTATTGAATAAAAACTGTTGGCCCCTTTCAGCCCTTAATTTGATGAGTCAGCACATTTTTCTTGATATCATATTAAAGATCTTGATATTTTGCACAAATGTTGTTCAGTATGTTTTAACAAAATATTTATATTTTAAAAGATATGATACAAAATGTCTCAAAAAATCACTCATAAAACGTGTCCTAAATTTTGACCCCTACCGAGCTTCCATACTAGGCACTTCCGGAAAATATCCTGACCATGTTGCAACATGGCAACATGTCCTCTACTATCACTAAAAATTTCAGCTTTCTAGCTTGAGCCGTTTTTGAGTTCCATCACAGACAAGGAGGAACTCTAAATTTCGATCAAAGGGCGATAACTCCCGACCGGAAGTGAATTTCAAAAAAATGATTTGCCGGAATTAACTTCAGATGACAACGCATCGACTGTGAAAATTTGAAGCAAATCGAACGAGACATCTCCGAGAAATCTTCTGCACAAATTTTGTAAGAAGAAAAAAGAATAAAAATAATAATAATAATAATAATAATAATAATAAAGGTAAAAAAGAAACCGAAGAATAATAGAAGGGTCTTCCGCTGAAGACGGAAGACCCTAATAATTAATACACAAATTCATATTTTCTTAATGGCTAACGTCCTTACATTTTTTGTTAAATACTTATTACATAATTAATATTTTACTATTATCATTGTAAAACAAATATAATTGTGGAAATTATTATGAATTATTTTAATATTATCTATACAATTATATTGACAAACAGCTCGCTTCGAATTTAGATCGGGCGTGGTGTACGGTAAACTCGTAATGGCGCCCGATTTCCGTCGATTCTGAGGTAAAATTGGCTATAAAAATTTACGGATGTCAATATCATTCAATTAAACATCACATTAGGCCTTATTGTACCCCATTAAGTTCAATTTTATGGGGTTTCCACCACTTTATTGGGGTTTCACCCCTCCTGTATGGGTATTCTCCAAAAATTAGGGGGTTTCGGGTTTTTCCAGTCACCCACAATATCACGCCATTTTTTTTCTCACCTTTTTTCTTGTTTCTCTTGCCTGGAGATGATGTCCATAGGACATAAGCCCCGCCAACAACAGCAGCAGTTAAGCCACCGATCCACCAAATATTTCTTTCCATTGTCAACGTGACATCTTACATCAATACCAAGGTAACGACTGCCCTGCACTTACAGCCTCCATTACAGGATATTCCATTATAGTTTATAGGGGACGGGTTTAATAAATGGTGATTTATTTCTCTATTAGTGGCATTACATCAAATTTTATTTTTTCTAAGTGACAATATATATTATAAGTATTTAAATACATCTTAACCATTTTTTAATGAAATATTTGTTGTATGCTCGATAAAAGTTCTTTTTTTTAATAATCCTGACACCCCTTTTCCAAAGTGAAAGTAACCAATTTACTTCCGCTTTCTTGGTGGATATGTCAAAATTTCAAGTTCTGGGAAATTCCGGGGAAAACATAGCTAAACATGTCTGATTCCAGTGGTAGTTGTGTTAGTTCCCCAAATATAAAGGTAAAGGGATATTTTGAATCAATATATCAAAGTAAGAACACTTTCATCCCGTTTTAAAAACACCTGTCAAACAAGTCAGGTAATATTGCATACATCACCTGTACAAAAAAAAAAAATTAAAAATATATGAATTTATGCCGTAAAGAGGAAGTGTAAAAAAAATTGTTTTTCATTTGACATGGATTTTCCGAAATGTAAAAATTTTCACTTTCCTCAAATAATTTTCTTATCTAGATACTAGAATGCAGCCAATATTCATCTTGAGTTATTTTTTTTCTGAAAATTTTAGACACACTCTATAACAGATGACTACATTGTTTTATGGAAGGAAAAGCTGGGAACAGGCATAACTGGTCCAGTCAGGTAAAATAAGACAAGTTTTATATACAGTAAAACTTGGTTATAACGAAGTCGCCGGGACCTGTGAAATTACTTCGCTATATCCATAAAAGGAATTTGTTTAATCTAATATAGCTGGGGATCCAAGATAACTTCACTGTATCCGTGAATTCGCAATATCCATGTTCGTTCTAAATAAGTTTTTTAAAATGTATCGATATACGGGGTTTTAAATAACTCTATGTCTGTATTAAGTTTGAAACTGAGAGACAGTTCCAAGAAGTAGTAAATTAAGCCCACCATTTTTATATCAAGTAAAATTTCCAGAAAATATGTCCATATTTAGCATGTTCAGTATGATGTTCAGAGCAAGAGATTTATTACTATAATATAAATAGAATACTAAATAATATTTAAATAGAAACTCAATAAAGTGTTGATAGTTTAAATAAAATAAAAATCTACAACAGTTTCAGTTTATAGATTAACAAACACAGTATAAATGATTTCTACAGGCCATGTATCAAGAGGGATACAAGGGAGAGGTATGCCCTGAAGTGTATGATGGATGGACCGAAGGCCCACACCGAGGTCAGACTCCACAAACTGTGCAGTGACCATCCAAACATTGTAAAGGTACTGGACGTGTACGCAAACGATGTCCTCTTCCCAGGAGATCCTCACCCAAAGTAAGAGTTTGTTAAAAAAAATGTAAGACCTTTGAGATTAGTAAACTACATTCTCAGCTACATTTTTTACTTAATGACAAGCTAATGAACATTTGTCTCTGACTTTTTACTGATATCAGAATTTTTTTTTAACTATTTCCTGTGTGTAATGTATAATTCCATGTTTACCAGTGACTGGATTCAGTGGTGACTGGTCTTTTATTGACTTGCTTATTTGACTCTTGAATCAACCCTGCATCATGATATCAGTATCATTGCTTAATTAATTCCTCTTTCACTTTCTAGGGCACGGTTGCTTATGGTGATGGAATTCATGGAGGGAGGGGAGCTGTTTGACAGAATCAGTAAGGAGAGCAAGTTCACAGAGAGGAAGGCTGCCACATACCTCAGGGACATCGCCGAGGCGGTGCACAGGTGTCACAACCTGAATGTGGCTCACAGGGACCTCAAACCCGAGAACCTCCTCCTGAAAAACAACTCCGAGGTGCAGAATTGTTTGTGTTTTACCCCTTTTATATGTCTGTAACTGATAAGATGTAGTAAATGTTTTATCAGTGTAATTTTTTTTATGTCGATTAGTACTTTATTATAAATATGTTTGATATTATAAGTGATACTGTAACAGTAATAGAGGGTAAATTCTTAATTTAGGATGCTGAGATTAAGCTGACAGACTTTGGTTTTGCTAAGGTGGACGACGGAAACCTACAGACTCCTCATTTCACACCTTATTATGTAGCACCTCAGGTATAACAAACCCAGGAAACCCTCCTTTCACCCATATTTATTCTTTTAATTTAAGTGTATTTTGTCAATCTATGAGGGTTGTCTGGAACAATTATAGACCATTTATGAAAGTTACGGTAAATTGATAGGGATGTGGAAAAATTGTTAAATTTATTAGGCCTATAAGAAAATATTTTTGTGTTGACATTTCAAGAATTTCACTTTGATCATTAATTGCCTTATTTTAAAGAGTTTTCCGAACATTTTAAATAGAAGTTGGTATACACTACAGATGAAAAAATGGCAATTTTTAATGATGATAAGGTACATTGGAGAGCTATTGTATTTATATGTACATGTATACATGCATTCTTGTCATTCTTCTGAAAAGTATATAATTTTTTTTTCAGGTTTTAGAGGCTCAGAAATTTAAATCCAAACAGAGAAAGGGGGTCATACAGACCTCTAAACCATATACTTATGACAAGGTTCTTTTTTTTAAATTGTCTCTTTAGTATTTTTTTTTTTAATTTACTTGAAATGTATAATATACTGCATATAATATGCCATTGAGGATGCACGCTACTAGCTAGCTGGCAAATTAAGTCCCTCAACCAGCTTGGCAGACACTTTTTTTAAAGATTTAAATTGACCTATTATTTATTCTGTACATTCTACATACATGTAATACACCATATTTATTGATTTGTCAGAGCTGTGATATGTGGAGTGTGGGGGTTATTCTGTACATTATGCTGTGTGGTTATCCCCCTTTCTACTCAGAAACTCCCTCTAGAAACATTACCTCAGAAATGAAAAGAAAAATTCTGTCTGGGAAGTATGAGTTTCCGGAGGAGGACTGGAAGTTTATTTCTGATGCTGCCAAGGATGTTGTCAGGAGGTGAAGTTACACATAATAACTGATAATCTAAAAACTTGAGAAATTCTGTTCAGTGCTTCCTCTATGAAAGTCAAGTGAAAAAATTACATTTTTTTTTATGATGTATAAAATTTAAAGCCAATATCTGGAACCTCTGTCACAATTTTCTATAAAATTTAAATTGACATGTACATTCCCGACAGGCTGTTACATGTGGATCCTAGCTGTAGGATGAATATTTATGAGCTGAGGGTCCACCCCTGGATGACAGAGGCCCCCGACACTATTCTACAGTCCCCCGCGGTCTTCTCCAATAAGGTGAACAGTTACTATAAATATCCACAAGGGTTAATAGCAAATTACATCAGAGAAAAATCAAGAAAAGAATTTTTCAAAGCCATTATAGTTAGGTGAATCTTTTGATGGTGTATGAAGTTGAAAAAATAAAAAAAAATTTTTGCACAAAATTCTGCTTTGAATTACAAAACAAGTTTTTGTAACAGGGAAATATAATCTCTGAATGGTAAAATGGTTATTTGCTTTGTATTCATTAATGGCGAATAAATCATCTTATCCTATGTGAAATTGAAATGTTTACAATTTTTTTAATTTACAAAACTTCTTTTTATTTTATGCATTCAGAATCCATGTTATTAAATTTATAAGCACAAATATTGAAATCTAATTAATGGAATCATTTAATGTTTGAATTAATATGGATCAAGCATTTAAATTTTTCCCTGAATCTTTAATATATCAACCTTTCTTTCCTCAGGAAGGCCTAGAGGACATTAAGTTAGCACATGCTGAACAGCTCACACAACTGAGATTACCAGATATAACAATTAAACTGAAATCAGTCAACGAGTCGCAGAGCACCATCATCAGAAAACGCAAGCTCAGGTAGCCATGAAACACGGTAACATTTAGTACAGCTTCAATATTGAAATATGGTGGGCATACTTGTTTCTAAGAAATGTCTTGTTCTTGTGTAAATTATCTATTTGTATCTCTATAGTTGTGTTAATCAATGATACATTTCTATTCAGACAGAACAGTTTTGAAGAGTGTGACAAACAGACTAAACTGAAGATAAAAGAAAATGATGTAAAACTTAAACCACTAAGAGACATAATAGCCTACTGTGTGTTGCCACCAAAAGGTACATGTACTACAATGAGATGTAGGAGAAATTTAGTTACCTTACTGTTTGTTGTTTATTACTTCAAATCTTTATTTGGTTTTGTAATTAGAGTTTTTTTTATTTCCCCATTAAGTTGTATTTTTAGCTCACCTGAGCCGAAGGCTCAAGTGAGCTTTTCTGATCAAAATTTGTCCATTGTCTGTCGTTGTGGTTTTTGTAAACTTTTCACATTTTCGTCTTCTTCTCAAGAACCAAATTTCAACCAAACTTGCCACAAAGTATCCTTGGGTAAAGGGGATTCAAGTTTGTTCAAATGAAGGGCCACACCCTTTTCCAAGGGGAGATAATTATGAATTTGTTAAAAATTAATGGCATTTTTAAAAAATCTTCTTCTCCAGAACCGCTGGGCCAGGAAAGATGAAATTCATGTGGAAGCATCCTCAGGTAGTGTAGATTCAAGTTTGTTCAAATCATGACCCCTGGGTTAGGGTGGGGCCACAATGGCTGACCCAAGTTTTACATAGGAATATATAGGAAAAATCTTTAAAAATCTTCTTCTCAAGAACCACTGGGCCAGGAAAGATGAAACTCATGTGGAATCATCCTCAGGTAGTGTAGATTCAAGTTTGTTCAAATTATGACCCCCAGGGCAAGGGTGGGGCCACAATGGCTGACCAAAGTTTTACATAGGAATATATAGGAAAAATCTTTAAAAATCTTCTCGAGAACCACTGGGCCAGGAAAGATGAAACTCATGTGGAATCATCCTCAGGTAGTGTAGATTCTAAGTTTTTTTTGTTCAAATGATGAACGCCCCAGGGGTAGGGGGGTAAATTCAAGCCCAATGTGCTGATGAGCGCTGTGGCCCATGGGAATATTGTTTTTATTTCCCCATTAAGTTGTATTTTTAGCTCACCTGAGCCGAAGGCTCAAGTGAGCTTTTCTGATCAAAATTTGTCCGTTGTCTGTCATCGTTGTCGTCGTTGTAAACTTTTCACATTTTCATCTTCTTCTCAAGAACCACTGGGCCAATTTCAACCAAACTTGGCACAAAGTATCCTTGGGTGAAAGGGCTTCAATTTTGTTCAAATGAAGGGCCAAGCGGAGATAATTATGAATTAATGAAAAATTAATGGCATCTTTTAAAAATCTTCTTCTCCAGAACCACTGGGCCAGGGAAAATGAAACTCATGTATAAGCATCCTCCGGTAGTGTATATTCAAGTTTTTTCAAATCATGACCCCCGGGTAGGGCGGGGCCACAATGGCTGATCAAAGTTTAACTTAGGAATATATAGGAAAAATCTTTAAAAATCTTCTTCTCCAGAACCAAGGGCCAGGAAAGATGAAAATCATGTGGAAGCATCCTCAGGTAGTTTAGATTCAATTTTTTTTTTCAAATCATGACCCCCGGGGGTAGGGAGGGGCCACAATGGCTGATCAAAGTTTAATGTAGGAATATATATGAAAATATTTTAAAAATCTTTTTCTCCAGAACCATTGGACCAGAAAAGATGAAACTCATGTAGAAGCATCCTCAGGTAGTGTAGAATCAAGTTTGTTCAAATCATGACCCCTGGGGTAGGGCGGGGCCATAATGGCTGATCAATGTTTTACATAGGAATATATAGGAACAATCTTCTTCTCAAGAACAGCAAAGCTATGATTGGGAATATTAATTTGGAAACATCTTCAGTTAGACTTAATTCAAGTTTGTTCATATCATGACCCCTGGGGGTGAGGTGGGGTCATAATGGGCAATCAAATCTTTACATAGAAATATATAGGAAAAATTCTTTAAAACTCTTCTTCTCAAGTGTGGCGAAATTGTACATGTATGCTTTATTGATATAGTGACATTTTCAAGTTATAGAAAATTCAAATCCCCCCTCCCCCAACAAATAAACTTTTCAATACTGAGCTGATTTGTGTTTTTTAACTAGCCCATGTGCTCAGGTGAGTGATGTGGCCCATGGGCTTCTTGTTTTTGTAGATGAAAAAGATAGCATGTTGAACAGTCTTATATTGAATGCTGTGAACAGTTCATGGTGCCATAACAAACTTCTGTCTATACTACAGCGGTGGAATTGGGACGGTAAATAATTCTTCAATCCAATATACTTTTATAACAAAGTTCTTTTTTGGGGGGGGGAGGGGGGGGGGGGAGTGTCAAAATGGGAATTAGAAAGGTATTAAGGATTTCCATCCCTAATAGGACCAAATTCTCTACCCTTAAATGTCCGTCAAGTACATAATACGCTGGTATTAAAATAAAGCATTTTATAGCTGAAAAGGATTGAATGCGAGAAAGTTTTTAAAAATTCATTAACTAAGCAGTAGTTAATTAACATTGAAGTCTATGGGGAAAAGCATTTTTTTTTAAATAAAAAATCAGATAATATGAATTTCAATAAATACGGCAGTGGAAAGATGCATTGAAATATTAGAAAGAGAATGAAAATTGAAAACAATTTTTTTACTGGATAAAACTTTTAAAATTGATTTTTTTATGAATTGAAAATAAAGGGACATAACTCTTACTAAAATTCAAGGTAATAAATTAGGACACATCCCACTCTTACTGGCTAATAGGAATAAATGGGAATTGTGTCTAAATATACGGAGTATTCAACACCCACATATCTGTTGTGTATTCAATTTCATGGAATCTGTTGCTATTAGGGATTGAATACCTTAAGAGAACTCTTTTACTTCAGGAGAAAAATTTCAAACAAAAGTGGAGAAAATGAAGCTAGCTCAACACCTGAGTGAGTTTGTAAAGTCAGTGACTGATGTAGCACAGGAGGATTTCAATAGCTGATGTTTAGTTTCTGGTAGACCGCTATTTATACTGGAACTCTGTACAACAAGTTGTTAGCAGAATTCAGACACGGTGCCTCAAGTAGAACATAATCATCATAACAACACAGATTGAGTATTTTAACTTATTAAGAAAGTGGCTTCTTTTACTACTGACTGGTTCTTTATTTCAGGGAATATATGTAACAGGGTTTGAAATGACTGTTTGACTTTTCACATCTTGCTCTGGATTGATATTGAAGTTTTGACATTTTTTTTTCAATTTTAATTACATTGTATGTAACAGTTTACAGTGATACGTTGGAAAAGAGTATGATCTGAAATCCATTTTCTCACTTGATCTATATAAGACCATCATAGGCAGTGATTACAGGATCAATTTATATATCTTGTGAACTTTGGTTACTGTAAAAGTTGGATAAAGTACCCCATGGGATATCTTATTTATACGTGATGCAAGATTTGCATGGACCTTATGCATATTAATGCATTATTTGGTGCTTATTTAAAACTGATAGTATTAGGACTCAACATTGACGTATGTCAGATTGTCCATGTCCAATACATCAAGTCATTCTCTAGACATGCATGATATATATGTTGTGTATATAAAAACTACTTAGGAATTCATTATACTTCAACAAATGTTTTCACTGTGATCAACATTACAATCTAAGGCTGCAGTTTTATTTCATCAGATATTGTTAACAAACAAAAAGACTAGGTAAATGCATGAATTAGTGATTTTTTTCTTCTGGATTAAGCAAATCTTTTTATGTCAGTTTTATTTGTTACTTTTTCATTTTTGAAAATAATTTAAGCTCTACAGATTTCTTTATATTTGTAAAGATATGAATAAATTTTTAAAAAAGGAATTCTTACAAATAACATGTAGGAAAGTTGTCCAATAGACAAGTGATTATATTTTAGTTGATGTTCAGTCCCTAGTATGTACTTATCCTTACTTCAATTGTCTGCATTTATATGTTCATATTTGATATACAGAGTTTACCTGTGAAGTCTCAAAATCAAAAAGAATCACTAAGTAAAACAATATTACATGTAGTTTATTATGTGTTGTGCAAATTCATGTCACTAATTTATTTCACATTATGTGAAGCCTTACTCATGTTTAGAAGTTTATTTTTTATTTATTCTTTATGCTAAATAAAATTCTTTTTTTATTACTGTGTCTTTATGATATAAAGTTTGAAAGTCAGGACTTTTAACGGATATTGAATGCTTTGATTTCTGTTAAGATATTGTGGGTTTTTTTGTTATGCCTGCATCTATAGAAAGTTCAGGTACATTGTTGCTATATTTGTGTGTCTATCTGTCATACTATATCCTTCCTCAAACAACTTCTAGGTACATTTTAAAATATGATTAATGGTGCCTGCAGTACATGTATACAAAAAAGTGTTTGACATTTTCATTTTGGGGACCAAATGGGGTAAAAGGGAAAACCTTCGTTATCCACTAAAACCTGGCATCTTGCATTTTAGCAGTAGGCCAATGCAGAGTGAAGTATTTAAATGTGATAGGAGTTGTCCTTTACATGAGCTATAATGTTCTGAAATTATGGTTTTCATCAGGGGATTGGGAACTATATTTTACACTTTTTGCAAAAGCTGATTCATAATTTAAAGTTTTGAATATCATTAGGAGTGTCCTGTAGATGTGTAGTTCCAGACATAAACATGAAAAATAAAAGTAAGCTCAAGTCCTTTGGAGAAGGGCAAATTGGGAGCAGAGTTAAGTTTAACACAGTCCTCTTAAAATCAGAGTAGGGATCAGGTGCCATGGAGTAGTATAAACAGTCCCTGATGACCACTACACCCATTTGTGCTCCATGTCATGATCAGACTAACAAAGACTGTTTATTTGTTTCTGCAGTAACATCAACCTTGGCCATAAATTTTGATTGATTAGAGCTAAGACTTTCATATTTCACAAGTGTCTTCCTTGTGGCAAGATCTTTCTTTGAATTTATCAACATATTTGACTTCTTGACCTTTTGAGTTTCACCCAATTTTGCAAAAAATTACCAGCGGTTGACCTTGGGCGTAATTTTTGATAAAAAAACCAAGTGAGTTGGTGAAAGAACTTTCATACTTCACAAGTGTATTCATTTTGACAGGTTATTATACCCCCCGCAAACAAAGTTTGGGGGGGTATATAGGAATCACCTTGTCCATCTGTCCGTCTGTCTAGCTGTCCATCTGTCCGTCTGTCTGTGCAATCGTGTCCGGTCCATATCTTTCTTATGGAGGAACATTAGAATCTACTACTCCACACAAAGATTGCCCATGACCTAAGTGTGTGTCATGACCTTGAGGAAGTATAAGGTCACTGGAAGAAAAAAATTATAATTTGTGTCCGGTCCATATCTTTCTTATGAATAAACTTGGTAGGTTGTCATTTCACAAAGATTGCCCATGACCCAAGGGTGTGTCATGACCTTGACCCAAGGTCATTTGTGGAAGTTCAAGGTCACTGGAAGAAAAATTTCATAATTCATTTTGTCCATATCTTTCTTATGGAAAAACTTATTCTGAAAAACCCAGGTTGTCCCGTTTGGACAGTTCTAGTTTTCTTTGGTGTATATTTTTAATAACTGACATTGACGTTGAGTTTGACCCACTTTTTATGCCCCATTTAAAGAAGGAGTGCATATTGCTTTGCTGCTGTCAGTCTGTCTTCCGATCCATCATCAGTTTTCATTTATTTTCTTTACAGAGGTTGCACATATTGAAATTAGATTAGATATATTGATTTATCAGAAGAATATCTAGCTCAAGTTCTGTTTTGGGTACGATCAGGTTATTCTGGACAGAGTTATGCCCCTTGGACTTACATGTAGAAAAATTCCAATTATTTTCAGTTTTCATTCATTTTCTTCGCAGAGGTTGCACAATTATAATGAAATTAATTTTCTGATTTATCACAAGAATATCTAGGTCAAGTTCTGTTTTGGGTACGTTCGAGCCTTTTTGGACAGTCATGCCCCTTGGACTTAGAAAAATTCCAATTATTTGTATTTTCTGTTCATTTTTTTGCAGAGGTTGCACCCACTGAAATGAAATTCAATATACAGATTTATCATAGAAATATCTATGTTAAGTTCTGTTTTGGGTACGAACGAGCCATTTTTGACAGGACTAAGAAAAATTCCAATTCTTTTGGGGTGGGGGGTATAAGTGTTTTAAAAAACATCTCTTGTTAATGCGTTTTATACTAAGGGCTTTAGTACATGTATATACCTGTATTCTTTGTGTCATGGTTCTCATTTGGATACTAACCATTTTGATCTTAGAGTTTGACCTACTTTTGAAAAACTTGAAACATGGCAATAACTTTAAAGCAGTTATTGCCAGGACTCTTATTATATATCTTTCAAATGTGTATTTCCTATGACAAGGCCTTTTATTTGACTCTTTGACCTGGTCTTTTATTTGACTCTTTGACCTTGTTATGTAGCAAACTGACCTTGTAGTTTGGCAAACTTTAATTAAAAATCCCCTCAAATTTGGACATAAATTTTAACGGTTGATGCTTGGGTTTCCTATTCCAAAATATGTCCTTTCTTTGGATAAGTAGGATTTTTAGCGAGGATTTAATTTTGGCATTATTAGCGAGGGTGCTGAGACCGCTGAAATTAGATATCGCTAAAAATTAACTACATTTTATTTGTAATAGCTTCTTTAATAGTGAGCACCTAAAAATCGCCAAATTTAATTCTCGCTAAAAAAAAAACAGTTATTAAGGACATCGCTAAATTTGCGTCTTACGGTAAATTTAACCTTGGAGTTGCATTTGAAAAAAAAAACTTTAACCTTTTCTATAAGCTGTTATACGGGGACATCAATGTTTAACAACCACATTTTGTTTCTGTATTTCAATCAAAAGGACCATTCAACGCCCTGCTGAAGGTAGCTTTCACGTCCTAAAAGATTATGAGAGCAATTCAGCGCTGTGAGGCTGTAATGGGAACGATTTAATGCAATAAGGAAGTATATCCAGACAAAGTTGTCTGGGATTCTCGGTAATTTATTGGACAGACCGACCAATGCATTTCCAGGAATTAAATAAATATAGATTAACATTCGGAATCGGCACGGTCTCACGAGTGTTACATTGTGAGACCATGTAGTTATACATGTCTATACCATTCCCTTTCATGCAGAGACAATCCCTTTTTTCTCTTTGGTACAGCACTGTGCAATGCCTCCCGTTGCGAAGGGTTTCTCGGGATTTTTGTTCGCATCTTCAATTCAACAGAGTCATAAAAGACATGTACATGTCTGACCAATTTCTGTTTACTTAATGTGTATTATTTCCTCCTCGCCTTCGATTCTTCATGTTTTTGATTAACATTTTTCCGAATTTTATGTAAATTGTATTTTAGTAATAAATGGCATATTGCGGCTTTTAATAAAAGACCTGATTCTATATAGAACCCTTAATCCCTTTCCTTAATAACAAGGAAATTAAAGGATTGGAACTTCTCTCATTAAATGCGTCCATGCATATTCTACATGACTCAGCAATACTTCTATATGCTGCTGGGGAAATATACGCAAATGATAGATAATCCGAGCGGAAAACCTGTCATTTGTATACTTTAATGGAAAATGAAAAGCATAATAAAAAGATCTAGATAGGCTCTGTGATTAATCTGGAAATCGGTTTTCTGTTGCTCAGGAATGCCTCAAGGCGAGTTCTCCGTCAAAGCGTTTTATATACTATGCAAACTCATTATTTTATAAGTTCAAGTATATATGCATAGAGGGAAAATATTGAGGGGGCAGTCTGTTTTCAACAACAAAGTGGTTACCCCGCAGAAATGCTGTACTTACTTTGCACAGTTCTTCCTTTAATATAAATCTTAAATTCACAAATGTTGATCACGACAACACGTGATAGATATAGGAGCTATAATAAATGTGCATCACTAACAACAACGTGAGGGTTATCAATCTGCTTGCAACAGATGACATGTCATTATTAAATGTAATTTGCTTTCATTTCTTCTGTAGCTGTTAATAGAAATTAGGACAGTATTGAAATTGCTTCTGATTACGTCAAGTTACTAACAGTTTGATAGATTAATTTAAAACAAGATGTGTTTGTGCAACACCGATTCCCCCGTATGGTATATTGCAAAGGTTATACGGTTTCTCAAAAAAAAGTCGAACTCCAAGGTCAAAAGTCAAATTGTTGGTATCCAAATGAAGGTCATGACTAAAATGGAATACACAGGGTATGTTAAAAATGAAAACCCTCGTAAAAATGTTCAAGAGTTATGGTCAAGGCTAAAGTTTTTTAAAAAGTGGGTCAATCTCTAAGGTGAAGGTCAAGTTAAAAATTTAAAATATATATCTATGTATGTCTTGTCAAATTAAATACACAGATGAAGTATGGCAGTCCTGGTTGTTATGGCTAAGGTTAATAATCTTCAGTAAATTTTTGCGAAAGTTGGTCAAATTGAAAGGTCAAGATCAAGAGGTCAAATAGGTTGTAGATATCTCGATCAAAGGTCTTTTTATAAGGAAGGCGCATAGAAAGTATGAAAGTCATCTCTCCAAACAATTGAAAGTTATAGGTAAGGTTAAAGTTTTTGCGGAAACAAGTTATAACCAAGCAGACAGAGAGACAGATGGAAGGTATAAAAAGATGGTGTAGAAATTATAAATAAAAAAACCTCTTCACTGCTGAATGTAGGATTTCTAGCCTAAAATGTATTTTCTTTTCGATTAACGCAGTAACGTCGTTCTGACTTGGACAATGTCCTACTAGCGTTAGCTATTCCTTTTATTTGTCCCTGCACCAAGGCCTGTCTGACTGTCGTCAGTATCTAAGATGAATGGCAAAGCGAAGTCTGGGTGAGCGAGTATTGGTGCATTGACCAAATGAAATTTATTAATAAGTTTTTCGAATGCTGTTTGGCACTCAGCGATCCATTTAAATTCTTTCCCCTTTTCCGTAAGTTTGAACAAGGGCTTGGCTATAGAAGAAAAACCACTGATAAATCTACGATAATAGCCACACAACCCTACAAATGACCTTACCTCGGTGACATTCAAGGGCACAAGCCATTTTTCAATGGCTGAGATCTTCTGTTGATCAGTCTGAATACCTTCTCCGGATACTTTGTATCCCAGAAACAACACCTCTTTCTTAAATAAAGAACATTTCTTCGCTTTCAATTTTAGACCTACCTCTTCAAATTTCTGAAACACTTGTTCTAAATTCTCTTCAAAATTTCGACCAAATACAATGATGTCATCAATATGCACTAAGCAAATCTTGTAGTTCAAACCAGCTAACACCGTCTCCATAAGCCTTTCAAATGTCGCTGGACTGTTACAGAGTCCAAACGGCATTACTGTGAATTGGTATAGTCCGTTTCTTGTTACGAAGGCAGTCTTTGGCTTATCACTTTCCTCCATCTCAACTTGCCAGTAACCGGAATGCAGATCCAATGTACAAAATAACGTTGCCCCTTGTAAACGGTCTAATGAATCGTCGATCCTGGGTAAAGGATATGCATCCTTAACAGTTTTACTATTTAAGGACCTGTAGTCCACACAAAATCTTTCGGTACCGTCCTTTTTCTCTACTAGTAATACGCCTGCAGCCCATGGACTAGAGGACGGTTCTACGATTCCTTTTTCAATCATATTATCTACCTCTTGGTCGACAAAATCAGCTGCATGATGAGGTAACCTACGTGGAGGTTGTTTAGTAGGCTTAGCATTTTCCGTATTTATTCTATGTTTGACGACAGAAGTTCTCCCGAAGTCATCTTTTGATTTGGAAAATAAATGCTGAAAACGAAGGAGTATTTTCTTTGTTTTGTCTGCTTCATCAGGATTCAAATCTTTGATGGCCTCAGCGTACAACTCATTAAGGTGTTCTGGGAAACAGCTCTTTTTGCATCCAGTGACGTCTAATTTATCTTGACTTTCCACAACATTTGTAACAGCTGACGTGGTTCTACAACCGTGTTTTGTAAACAATCTGAGGACTGCCGGATACGTTCATTAACCTTACCACGACATTGTCTCTGGGGTTAATCAACGATATCGCAACCAAAGCTTTACCGCTTTTCTGAAACTTTTCGTAAGCCTCCATTACTAATGGTCCCTTGCAATTAAAATCGCTAGGTGCATGTAACTGACCAGGGCATATCATTTCACTCTTTGGTGGAATGGTTATTGTCTCCTTCAGGTTGACTCTGAAACATCCTAAGTGACCCTCAAGCTCATGTTCAATTCCTCCAACATACATTTTCCCTGAAGAAACATCCACCAAACATTTGTTTTGTTTCAGGAAATCTAAACCTAAGATGCCGTCGATACTGATGTCGGCGACAACTGCTTCAAAAGTGAATTCATGACTTCCCATCATAAAGTTGGATGTGCACTTACCCTGCACTTGCAATGGAGGTCCATCGGCTAGAATTACTTTCTGTCTTACGGGCATTAGTTCGATAGTTTCCGTGCTAAGCATGTTTATGAATACTTTATTTGACAAAATTGTCAGTGTAGCCCCGGTGTCCACTAACAATGTACAATGCACCTTATTAACACTAGCCTTTATAAATAACCCAGACTGAACATCAACTCTTGTTTGAGTGACTGAACTCGTATTAGACTTCCTATTCTTTGGCTTAGCCTCGGTTAATTGTTTCAAATCTTCCCGTACCTTTATATCAGTTTCCGATTGCCCCTCTAATTCACTATGTGCTGTTCTGGCAAAACTAACATCGTGTCTTCTCTGGCGTTCAGCTCTACAAAAAGCTTCGATCTCCACGGCCAGCCGAACTGCGTCGTTTAAAGATTCGGGCCGTGACTGCTGTATTCTAAGACGCATATCAAAGTCCGTTACGGCGTCGATGAACTGGTCTTTAGCAATCATCTCTGTAACATCACGTGGTGCCGTCGGGTACGCTAAATGTGCTAGTCGTCGTATACTTTCCCGTAATTCTGGCAGTGTCTCCTTTGGCCTCTGATGTTTTTCCTTTAACATGGCTCGATAAAGTTCCGTCTGATTAGTCGGTGCAAATCTAGCCTCTAACGCTTCACACAAATCTCTATATGCACAAGCATTATCTGTTTTCATATTCCCAAGAACTGTTTGTGCTTGGCCTCTTAATGATGCTGCCAGGTACAAGCCATTCTGTCTATCGTTCCACAGGTTGATGCTACTACATGCCTCGAAATGAGCTTTGTAATCAACAGGGACGTAGCAACCGGGGGGGCCAGGGGGGGCCCTGCCCCCCCCTCCACTTTTTTCCCCAACATTACCTTTGCTATAGTAAATGTTCATTGAAAGGATGGTTGCCCCCCCCCCCACTTTATACCATAGTAAAGTGATATCAAGGATTGTGGGAAAAAATTGGAATTGATAGTAAGTTGGCTTCGAAAAAGTTGGCCACTACTATCCCCCCCCCCCCCCCCCCCCCACGAAATAGGATTTTCGAGTTCGGGCAACTTTTAAGTTTTGTTTTTTTTTTGGTTTTTTTTTTGGCTTGTCAACTTTTTCAGGTAAATAAAAAAAAATTTTCTCTGGTTGGCCCCCCACTTTCAAAAACGATGCTACGTGCCTGATCAATCCAGGACCCGGTACCATCAAATGTCGCAGGCTTCATCACAGTTTTACCAAATGTTTTAGTGCTAGGACAATAACCACTGTTTTCATTCACTGGTAACGCTGCACCTAATGGTGTACTTGGTACAGTTGGCATAGGTTCTCTGTCCTTTGCAAGACTCCATGTAACACTTGTAGGTGTTGACATAGAGCTTACACCTAACGTACTCCAGTGTACATGCGGCGTTGAAATTCGAGGTGTATATGCTGATTTACCCAGTAACACTCCTGTGTACTCCTGTGTACGCCGACTTTGGTGTAGTATAAACATCGCCTCTTCCCCAAATACTACACAGCCAATTGTGCCTAACGTTAATTTAGTGTTAATCTCAATTAACATTAAATTAACGTTAGCTTGATGTTAGTTTAATGTTACTTTCTTGTTAAGTTAACATTAAAAATGTTAACATTAAATTAACGTTAATTTTTAACGTTAATTTAACTTAACATTAATTTCGTGTTAATTTTTAACGTTAATTTAACTTAACATTAATTTCATGTTAATTTTTAACGTTAAATTAACATTAAAATTTTAAGTGAGCTTGGGACTTCTTCTTAAAAAACTAGAACCAAAATATTAACATTAGATTAACGTTAATTAGTTAATGTTAATTTCATGTTAATATGAATTTAACCTTAATTCTTTAATGTTAATTTCATGTTAATTAGAATAACACGAGATTAATGTTATTATTCAAATTTTAGACCTAACTTTAAGCAATACTTGCCAATCATTTTAGTGACATTTAATAAATTAGTTAAGATGTCCATATGTGGATACTCGAAACCGCCGGAGTTGGGGGGGGGGGGGGGGTACTGGCACTTGTGTCGTAAATAAATTTTTAACCCCAATAAAGATAACAGTTGTGTTAGTATTATACCATAGGTTCAAAAAGTATTTCAAGTCACACAATTTATTTCAGACACAAGTGCCTGTGTGTTTGTAAGGGTGTGTACATGTGTGGGTTTGGGAAAGGGGGGTGCTCTAACTGTTAATATTAGCACCCTCTTCACCTCGTCCATCTTTTTTTTCATACATTCTTAAAAAAGTAATTTATCTAGACTTAAATTATAAGCACTATGTCTATCTTTCAAAATGTCAACTTGGATTTGGATTTTTTTCCGGCTAAAAATGGTCCGTAGCTTTTCTCAGGATCGGTTTTGTTTTTATCGGATGAAACTGTACGTCATGCTTGACGTCACCAGCTGTAACAGAAATTGAAAACACAGAGGAAAAAGGATTTATCAAGTCTCTGTTAAAAGTAAGTATTTTGTAGTCTTTGTAATATTACGTTTTTGAGAGTTTCATAATTTCAGAGGTCCCTAAATGTTTGAACTTTATGTATAGCAACATAAGGCATAATTACTCAACAGTCCTTGCAGGCTACTGTGTCGTAGGCTGTGAACGACGTGCCAGATCTCTGCTATGTTGTATATTTGTATATCAGCATTACTATTTTTATGTCTATTTATTGTTCAGTTGGTTAAATTTGTTTGAACACTGAAGCCTGCCGGTACATCTGTACTGCCGCCCTACGTGGAGAAAATTCGAAAGTGAAAGTAGAAATCGTGTACAAGTTAACAATAACCATCTCGACGTTGAAGTTAAACACGCAATGTGAGCGATGTTTTCCCTGATCCTAACAGTTCATCTTAATTGGTTTCATCATTATCGAGAAAAAAAACCCGATTTGATATTTATTTTTATTGTATTTTAAACAGCTGGAACTCGGTATCACATCTGACTCGCACTTCTGAAATGGATCAAATCGGACTTTGTCGTCGAGACTCGGAGGAACCCAGCTGCCTAAATTATTATGCCAGTGGAACACAAAACAGGTATCAAAAGTGGAACAAAATGTAAACAATTCCACCAGTAAATGTAATGACAGTGAAATTTACATTCATACACCCCAACTGATTTTTTTAAAATACCAGTTAAGTACTTGTCACTACTTGACACTTGTCAATATTTTGTTCAGAAACATTTTATAAGCATTATTAAATCAAGATTTTTTTCTTTTACTGCATAATACAGAAAAGATACTTTTATGCAAGACATGGAGAAAAGAGCAGACTACAGCCTCTATATACCATTCCTTGGTGCATCCTTGAATTGATGTTTTTTCAGGATAACCATGCAGGAATAAAGGTTATTTATAAAATAGTATATACATAGTTTATTTATAATTTTAATTTAGAAAAATTTGACAACTTCATCTAGAGTTTATGCTAAAGAGACAAATTTAAAGCCAAGTTGCTTTCACTGTACTAAAAGTTTGCCTTGAATCAGACTCTGCACATAAAATTTGATTTCTATGAATATCATATATGTTGAAGATATTACATTTTAAATAAATGATTTTTAATTATTTTTTTTTATAATTGTAGGTTAACTCAGTATAAAGTCTTGCTGACATGAACATGATAATCACAAGAAAGTGAATATATTTCATCACCTTAAGCAATCTTCAAAATACCAGGTAAAGTGCAGTTATTCTGAACACATATCAAATATTTAAAACCATTTAATATGTCACCCCTAAATTTTTTTTAAAGTATACTGGAAACATAATGTCTGTTTGCCAGTCTCACTGTATAGTAATATATATGGAAGTATATAGTTTTTAAATACTAGTAGTTTTTTTACTTCACCTGAGCCGAAAGCTCAAGTGAACTTTTCAGATCACATTTTGTTCGGTGTCCGTCTGTCCATCTGCTAACTTTTCACATTTTCAACTTCTTCTCAAGAACCACTGGGCCAGCAAAGATGGAACTTAAATGGAAGCATCCTCAGATAGTGTACTTTCAGGCCTCTTCAACCTGGGGGGGGGGGAGAAATAAGGTGTTTTTAAACATCTATCCGGATATAAATATCGGTTAGTCTTGACTCACAAGATTCAATTCCATAAAGCCTGATGGGCTTTATAATGAATTTTATCTCGTACCAACCCGTATTTATAGCCCGTTGGATGTTTTAAATTGATACCTTATTACTTATATTTACATTTGTGACTTATTCATACTTTGTATTTGCCTGATCACACTGTTTGTGGCTTTTAACATGCGAAATGCATTATTTTTCAAAACCAATGGCATGTAAACAGTATACAAGATACTGAATGTGTGTCGACCCTTTATGACGTCACTGAGAAATTCCGTTGAACATTCATCGATACGCACATCTATGACCTCTTGACCCTTGTAGTGTAGATTCAAATTTGATCCCAAGTTTTACAAAGGAATGCATAGGAAAACCTTTTCTAAAATCTTCTCCGAACTTATTTGGAATCATCCTCAGGTAGTGTAGATTCAAGTTTGATCAAATCATGACCCCCGGGGGTAGGATTGGGCCACAATGGCCGACCAAAATTTTATATAGGAATGGAAAGGAAAAACCTTTTAAAAATCTTCAGAACCATTAGGACAGGAATGATTAATCTCATGACATGATGTGGAAGCATCCATAGGTACTAAATGTAGATTCAATTTGTTCAATCATGACCCGTGGGGTTAGGGTGTGGCCACAATGAGGGATCACAGACTTGCATAAGAATATATAGGGAAAAGAATCTTCTCCGAATTAACATGATCTACAAGTAGTAAAAATTTAAATAATGCCCCGGGGATTGGGGGTTAGTGAGGGGTCACAATGGGAGATCAGGTAATGTGTTGGAAAAATCTTTAAAAATCTTTTTTTCAAGTATGGCAAAATAATATACATGTATGTATGCTGTATTGTAATAGTGACATTTTCAAGTAATAGAAAATTCAAATCCCCCTCCCCCAATAAGTATAAAGTAAGCTTCTCAATACTTAATTAACTGATCTGTGTTTTTTAGCTAGCCCATGTGCTCAGGTGAGGGATGTGGCCAATGGACCTCTTGTTTCATTCATTATATTTGAGACAAATTTGATTTGTTAATGTATTGCTGAAGTATTTCATTTTCATATAATTATTATAATATATGTATTTGCCTCTCTTCTTTTTTCAGATTGGAAAAAGAAAGAAGATTTGTAGCATTGTATTGAATATGCCTGATTAAAAGTATTAATGGATGAATTGGTGTTTTTCTCTTTTCTTCAGAAAATTTGAAATCGGATGCAATGCTCAGAATTTTAGAGATTTTGTTGAAAAACCAGATGGGTCCCTTTCTCCTTTTGGATATATTCAAAATGAAAAGAAAGTGACACCAGGGATGAAATCAACATGCAAGCCTAGCTTTCTGCAGTGCTACAAGGAGAAGTGCAAAATTGACGAGCTTCTGGTGTACCTTTAGAGAAATAATTATGATTACATGTAGTATCAGTTAAGCTACTGCTATGAAGCAATAACATGTTTTTTTTAGAAAGAATAGGAAGGAAAATTCCAAAAATATGCACACAATTTTTCTGCATTTTAACGTTAAATAAGTATGAACTAATTAACGTTAATTTAACGCTTAACGTTACTTTAACATGAAAATAACGTTAACTTAACGTTAAATTTTTCACGTTAAATTCATGTATAAGCTTGATTGACGTTAATTTAACGTTAAAATTTAACGTTAAGTTAACGTTATTTTCATGTTAAATTAACGTTAGGCACAATTGGCTGTGTAGTATCTTTGTTTCTAGGAACATGGAAATCATAAGCTTGGGCCTTGTATTCCTCATATCCACCCATAGCTCCTTTTACATAACTTGCTCTGGTGGTGGGGTTTATGTCAACTTTACCCATCAACTCATCTATACTGTCGTCAGCAGTCTTTTGCCTCAGGTCTACACCAGAATCAGTTACTAGAGAGGGCCTACTAACATTAAATGAGCTTGGCGTAGACTTCAACTTTTCTAACGTTTCTCTTAATTGTCGTCGTCTAACGTCAATTTCTTCAAGATCTGCCCACAGTTCTGATTCTTGTTCATTCTTCATGTTTAATTTCTATATACATGTACCAAGGAACCAAACAAAAATATTCGGTACTCAACTATATTAAATCTTACTGCAATGCACGTATACCTAACACAGTGCACACAGAACTCTGTACTTGGTATCTGAACCAAGTAACTGATCTGCGTTCACGAAAACCCGGTGACAGAACACAGTTCACACCGTTAAATAAACTTAAATCAACAGATTTTAGCAATTAAATGTACCCTGTATCCCTTTACCAGCTGCCACCAAAATGTAACGTGTAACCTAAGGGTCCGTTTTCAAGGGATATGGGGTATTAATATTATCGAAATATATATGACTGCCGTCACGAGAAAAAGGCCCTTAAGGTCAAATTTTCATAAATTTACTTTTTGATTAATTTTAATAGCCAAACTCTTTCTGAATGCAAATATACATAAATTTTGAAAATATCTCACTTTTTCAGTATTTTATAAGCATTTTAGTAAGGCGCACCAAAACATCTTTGACGTTACTCACTGAAAACGTAATGACGTCGACTGCGTCTATTTCAATTTCCAAAAATTCCTAAAATAAAACTCTAAATAACCTGAAATCAGAATCGTTTTGGGATATAAACTTGAGAAAATATATTTTTTTTTCTTCCAGGCGACAAGAACATGTATGTGGCTATTTCTATGGGATATCGTATGTTATTATTATTTTCATACTATTTTAGAGCAGATCTAGTATTATCGTAAAGGGGGATGTGGGTCTAGACAAAATCTAGGAACGGTTTATAATATTTTCAGAAGGAAAAATAATACTTGTTTAAATCAATTAGAATTATTCTTTTGATATAAAATAATCTTACTCAATTTATAACATATATAAAACACTTGTAACACTTAAACATTAAAAGAAATAGAGAGAGAGAGAAAGAGGGAGAGAGAGAATCCCAGACGGACACCGTGCGCAAAACGGGGCATACCCTCGCAAAAAAGCACTTCGATCCCGATATCAAAAAGAAAATAATTTTCTTATCAGTCATCAAAATTCATCATTCACTCACCATCGCACACACGTAACTTTTTTCCCCCTATAACTGTTACGATAGGATCAAAACACCACATATTTTCTGTATCACCGAAAAATGAGAAATAAATGCAGATATGCAAAGATATGTAAACTTGTTTTGAAAAATCTTAATTCCGTTTTATAAAAAAAAAAAAAATAGTGAGTGCGTGAATTGAATTCATGTTCGCTACTTCTATGCAAACGGATTTTTTTTTAAAGTTTACTTTTTTGAATATTTTATTAAAAATTTTAAAAGCACTAAGCTTCACTTGTTTATACAAATCATTTTCCTCGCCTGTCTTAGTTATGGAGTAAAAACATAATAAAGAGGCAAGTGATATCAAAGGATTGTCTTATGAATGGTTTATATACCGTACCTTAAATTGAAACTTTCTTTGAACTTATACCTAAAATTGAAACTGTCTTTTAACCTCTTATTTTTTAAAAAAATAAATCATAATTAAAATCGGCCACAAATATTTCTGCACATTCACCCCCCTCATCTTTTTTATATAATTTTGAGGCACCTTTACCCTGTTTCACTTGAACATAAGATTTGTATATTTTTGACAAGGATCGCTACTATGATCTTTAAAAAAATGATTTATGTACATTATATAATTAATAAGAGATGATTAATTGCACTGTTCTTGTCTCTTTTTTATATATGCACTCTAAACGGTGCTTGAATTTTCTGTGTGAAACTATGATTCCATTACAATTTTGAAGAAATCTATTTCAAACTGTTACTGAATGAATAAATTTTTACGCCATTTCAGTTGGGAGGGGGAGAGGGTGTTACAGCTATATTTTTTCAGTTGTGGGCACTTTCAACTACCATATATTTCTTGACAAGCAAAAGAAAGTATTTACGGCCAGGAAAGGTCATCTATTAATCTTCCTCCGTGGCATTGGCTTATCTAACACCTAATAAAAGCTTTTCAGTTTTCGATGCGATTGTCTTAACCAATAATGAAATATTACGTCCAACACACGTTTATATTTTTTGTATGAGTAATTATCTACCGCTCTAATCCATTTTTTCTTAGTTATTAGTTCAAAACATACTACTTTCTCGATATATCGAAATTAAAATAATATATTTGACTCGATTTCGTCTGTCCCCGTACAACTCAGTGACGTAGCATCGTTTGAAAAGAGGTTTTGGGACAGCCAGAATTAAAAAAAAATCAATTTACCATTACAAAAAACTTGTCAACCAAAAAATGGGGATTGTCCAAACTCGAATCCAAATTCGCTGGGGGGGGGGGGGTGTTGTTGGGGTTGGTTAGGTTCAGACTTCTTGCAGTATCAATTTTTCTTAATGAAACATAATGCACTGCCTTTTGTCCTATTGTGCACTAGTTTGACTATGCTGGAACAAAAAGTGGGGGGACTTTCAATTTAGCCCCCCTCCCCGATGCTACTTGCGTGCGACTGTAATATAGACAGTATTTTTCTTTCAATGCAGAAATATTTATGTTTGTTTATTAATTCCTTTCTTTAGAGTCATTTTAGGATTACGATATAAACTTCAGTATTTGGATTTCAACGGAAATTTAATGTAGAGATATGCGGGGTATTTAGATACATGTACATGATTCAGGGTTGAAGATGTCAACGTAAAACGAGACTTATTTCCTTCATATCATGAATTCAGTAGTCAGTGAAATATATTTCACACTCATTAAAGGTTTGCACGAACGTCCTTTTTCAGCAATGAACATCACCAGTGCTTAGATTCATTTTTTCCTCATTCTAAAATTTAGACTTCTTTGTTGTATAAAGTTTGAAGTGGTTGATGAATTTAAAGGTACTTGGACACAGATTTGAAGTTAATATTTTCTCATTTTTTCTGTATAATATCACGAATTATATATTTTAATAGCATTTCACACAAAAATTAATGAAAAATCTTATTTCATTTAAAAGTTATTAAGACTTTAAATTTTTTGGCGGGTTTGATTGACACATCCTTGCACTTTCTCAAATTTTAACTTTACTCTTAATCCTTAGGAAAAGTGGCAATTTTGATGTGCTTTAATGAGAAATATTAAAACTTTTATCAAGAAAAATAATTTCATTCAGAGTAGAAATGTTAGAAAGCAAAACACCTTTACAAGTATCATCATTCCGAACTAAGAGATGCGTACAGAGTTTAGCAAATCGAGCACACTCGTGTTATGTACACAGTTTTTGTAAACAGGGCTCGAGTTCTGTTATTGTTTATATTTAGAATTCACCGGGTGCGTTCAATCGTCACAGTCTGCTTACCACAACTGCACGGACTGACAATATATTGTGTGTTTGTTTTGCTTTCGAACGTGTCTACTCTGAATTTTCTGGATTATAGTATTAATATTTTTCATTTATACAAAACGAGATTGCCACTTTTCCTAAGGATTAAGAATAAAATTAAATTTGTGAGAGTGCAAGGATATGTCAATCACACCCGCCGAAAAATTTGAAATTTCAATATCTTTTCAACGAAATAAGATTTTTAATTAATTTTTGTGTGAAATGCTATTAAAATATATAAGTCGTAATATTATAGAGAAAATAATAACTTCAAATCTGTGTCCAAGTACCTTTAAACATTTTCATAACTTTTGGAAATTATTGGAAATTACAAATGTCAACTACAAGAGTACTTTATAGAGGAGTAAGGTATTTTCTTTTAAATATATCTTTTTCACGATTGGGGTAAGAATTTGGAAGAATTAATCAAGAACTAAGCGCAAATTTGTGCGCAGTAAATATACAGTTTTTACCATGGGTGGCACTGTAGCTCTCCGGTCTGCCGTTTTTTTTTCTTTCGAAAAACTACACTTCTTCAGCTATCTTTTCGCCTAATCTATAGTTGGCCGGGTTTTTTTCTGGGTTATAAATATTTTCATTCATAATATCACTGTCGATGTAATATTGTTAATTTCTTCAAAATTTTGTTTTTTTGGGGGGGGGGGGGAGAAGTCTATACAATGGCTGTATTCGATTCCTAGACATATTGCAATTCAGTTTCGAGTGGGATTTCATTCATTCATTTCATCGGAACAATTTAAGAGAAATGAAACATGTATTTATTGGATCATTTTAAATTAGTCTTTGAAACAAAA